TTCCGCGAGTTAGAGCTTAAGAACCAGCGGCTCCTGCCTAGGCCTGCCGGAGGGGGACTCCCTCCTGCCCTCCGCGGGGTTTGGTCACTTGTTTTCCCCTGTGACAGCGAGTTTCTTCCTGTAATTTTAAGCTGAGGTTGAAAATTTGCAGTGGAATAAATCCTTATGTGGTGGGTTTGGGTTTGGTGTTTTTCTTTTTTTTTTTTTTTTGGTTGTTTTTATTACGAGGAAGAACTTGTTTGGGGTGAGGGTGGCAGAGCCCTGGCAGAGGCTGCCCAGGGAGGGTGTGGAGTCCCCTTCTCTGGAGATCTTCAAGCCCCACCTGGATGCTCCTGAGTGATGTGCTCTGGGCAACCCTGCTTTGGCAGGGGAGTTGGACTGGAGGATCTCTAGAGGTCCCTTCCAACTCCGACAACTCCGTGATTACCCGAAGGAATTGCAAAGTAATGTCAGTATGGCAAGCTGTTAGGAAAAATGACCTGAATTCTGTTGTAGTAGGACCAGATAATCTCCACACTATACGTGGACTCTATTCCAGTCTACGCAAATGAAGGAGAGGTCATAATGTTTTTTTTCAGCTAAATATTTAGAATTTGTTTGAGACCTTTTGTTGCCACATGGGTGGAAAAAGGGCACTCTACTTAGCTCTTTAATTTTTCTTGACTTACCCTTCCTTCTTGTTTTTGTCCTCTACAGTCTTGGCCTGTTCCCAGCTCAGTAGGCTTTATTTCATTTGTTGGCATAGAAAGTAATGCTGATAACGTGCTGTCATTTGAATTGTCACTGCTGTAGTTGATGTAATAGATGACTGGAGTCCTGTCTGCTGTTCAGATAGCTTTGATTACACTTGGGGTTCAAGTGTACACAGAAGTGCTGTGTGTTAATTGGGACTGTAGTTGTGCGGTGAAACAGCTGATGTCCTCTCAAGTGGTCTCGCCTGTGATAAACACAGGGTAAGAGTCTACGTGTGAGCAGTTCTCACAGAGCAGTGGGTGTGAGCTAAGGTTATGTCCCAGTTTGCTTTGTGTAGTTCATTCATTATTTCTGTAGCTGTAGAATGGTTTGGGTTGAAAGGGACCTCCCACCAGAGCAGGTTGCTCAAAGCCCCATCCAGCCTGGCCTTGAACCCCTCCAGGGATGGAGCAGCCACAGCTTCTCTGGGCAACCTGTTCCAGTGTCTCACCACCCTTGCAGGAAAGAATTCTTCATAATACCTAATTTAGATCTACCCTTTCAGTTAAAAACCATTACCCCTCATGCTGCGCTACACTCCCTGATGAAAGAGTCCCCCCCATCTCTCCTGTAGCCCCTTTTACGTACTATAAGGTCTCCCTGGAGCCTTCTCTTCTCCAGGCTGAATACCCCTAACCCTCTCAGCCTGTCTTCATAGGAGGGGTGCCTCAGCCCTCGGATCATCTTTGTGACCCTCTGCTAGACCCGTTCCAACAGGTCCATGCCCTTCCTGTGCTGAGGACTCCAGAGCTGGACCCAGTGCTCCAGATGGTGGAGTACTTAAAGGGTATCAAGAGGATGGGGCCAGTCTTTTTTCAGTGGTGCCCAGTGACAGGACAAGAGGTAACAGGCACAAACTAGGACATAAGAAGTTCCACCTAAACATGAGGAGGAACTTCTTTCCTGTGAGGGTGGCGGAGCCCTGGCAGAGGCTGCCCAGGGAGGTGGTGGAGTCTCCTTCTCTGGAGACATTCAAACCCTCCTGGACACGTTCCTGTGGGACCTGCTCTGGGTGGCCCTGCTTTGGCAGGGGGTTGGACTGGATGATCTCCAGAGGTCCCTTCCAACCCTGTATCATTCTGTGATTCTGTGGGGTCTCACCAGAGCAGAGCAGAGGGGTGGAATCGCCTCCCTCAACCTGCTGGCCACACTTCTTTTGATGCAGCCCAGGATGGGGTTGGCTTTCTGGGCTGCCAGCACACATTGCCAGATCATGTCGAGCTTCTCATCCACCAACACCCCCAAGTCCTTCTCCTCAGGGCTGCTCTCCAGCCATTGAAATGGACCGAGAAATGAAATTAAATCAAAATCATCACAGAAACACATTAACCAAATACTTAAGTAGGTTCACTGTGATTTTTGTCACGTAAGTCTCTCTGACTTCGTGCCCAACAGGTGCTTGGTGGTTCTTGGGGAAAGCTGAATTTCTGGCAGTTGTCACAGGGGTTGTAGCTACTGCAGCATTTTAAGAAAAACAGGGCTGCAGTAGTTCCCACTAATTTCAGATGGATAGAGAATCCTCAAGACTTGCTTACGTGAGAAACAGGAGGTTGGTCGCTGGCTTGTTTTTCCTTCCAGTGTCACTATGCTTAGTAAAAATCGCTTCTTATTTCTTCACAGAATCAGTTTAAAAAAGACTACAGAGCAAGATTCTGCCAAGGAGGAGGGTAATTTACATTTAAAATTTTATTCCTAGCTACGCTTGTTTGGAAACCTAATGTTGATTTTTGCCCGAAAGCTTCATGTCAAAACTGTAGGGTGTATCTTATTAAACTGATCTCATGAGATTTCCCAGACTTTTTGTATTTCTTAGTGGTGGGAGGAGCAAATTATGCCGGGGGGTGCAAAGCACCAAGGATTTCCTTCATAGTTTTGTTTTTGATCAACAAGGGGATCATTTCTGCTGTTCTCATTTGTCCTGGGGAGGTTTGAAATAATAATCCAAGCAGCTGAGCTGTTAGCTTGCTTACGGATTTGACAGGTCGAGCAAATTTTTGCTGCTGAAGCTTTTGTAGAACCAGAGAATAACTGTGGATAAGTGGTAAAAAAAGAAGCAGAGGGTGACTCCTTTTAAAAAAAAAATATTTATTTAAAGTAGGAATCTCCCAAGGCTCTTGTACCTGAGGGCTGTTGTGTAGTTGTAGGTTTTCTTTTATGTAGAGAGCTTTCTTGAGTCTCGTCATATTCTGTGACACTGGGTCTTTTTCTTCTGGAATCCTTATTTAGACAAGTTTTTTTGCAGATACATGTGCATGGAAACGGTAGGTTTAATATTGAACTTGGGATTAGGGTAAATAATAATCTAAAATATTTAGTAGTAAGAAGCTTACTAATTTTATGTTGTTGGAGTAGGAACATTTAGCATTTCTGATTGAAAATATATATATTTTTTTTTTCCCCTCTCCTTTCTAGAACTAAGATTGATGTACAACCAGGTCAAAATGTGCTGGAACTCATAGAGAATTGTTTCCAAAGTAAGCTTTGATTTGGTGTTTCTTTGCAGATACCTGTGCATGGAAATGGTAGGTTTAATATTGAAGTTGGGATTAGGGTAAATAATAATCTAAAATATTTAGTAGTAAGAAGCTTACTAATTTTATGTTGTTGGAGTAGGAACATTTAGCATTTCTGATTGAAAATATATATATTTTTTTTTTCCCCTCTCCTTTCTAGAACTAAGATTGATGTACAACCAGGTCAAAATGTGCTGGAACTCATAGAGAATTGTTTCCAAAGTAAGCTTTGATTTGGTGTTTTATTTCATTTGCTAGTTAAAGAAAAAAATTGTTTCTTCCTTGTATTATATTTAGTGGTAAATAAACAGAAATGAAAAATAAAATGGATAAGAATAAAGTCTTTCTCACAAGCTTTAAAAGAAGCTCCTTCTAAGCTGCTTAAAATTGTGCTTTAACTGTCTTGTAATCTTTTTCCCAAGTAAGTGGTTTCTTTCTTATTTAGATTTTGGTGACCTTAACAAGTGTTAGCAACTTGTTAAATTAAATTTGGACAATTCCAAGAATCCCTTATTTATAGGTTTGTTTTTTTTTTCTTTATAGGTTGTGGTAGTGATCTTACAATAAATTCTCCAAGTACGAGTCTTTATTGCTCAACTCCTGTTGCCGGAAAAAGGAGGAATTCAACACAGAGCCAAAGGGTAAGTTAGTTATGGCAGTGTCACAACATGGCGTTGGGAACATTTTCACTTGGGTACAAGTCTAGTTCTGTAGGATTTGTTGAATGAATTGAATGAATAAGCTCCATATGTCACTTGTATTAGTATGTAGCTATAATTTAACCTTCTGTTGTCAGTAATGTTTTTTTTTCTTAGCTTGTTGTGCTCTAATAGTAAATGTTCTATAACTAGATTTCATGTCACTTGTATTAGCATGTAGCTATAATTTAACCTTTTGTTGTCAGTAATGGTTTTTTTGTTAGCTTGTTGTACTCTAATAGTAAATGTTCTATAACTAGATTTATTAAATAGCTTATTTCTCATGGTCTCAGGTTGAAGCATGCTGCCTTATGGTGGTGGGTCTGGCTGTCTTGGACTCCACTGGGGTTGGTTTCAGTCACTTTGCCAAATATGTGGATACAGTTCTTAGCAGCTCTCTGATGGATAGTAAAATCTAAAGGTGATTCTTGTATCAAAAGAGCTTGTCAGCTCCTGATAAACAGTTATCTCTACAATAACTTTGTTTATCTGTAACATTATTGAAGAGGGAAAACAAGTTGAAGGACTTGTGTTGTCTGAGAGAATGATGCCAATAATCTAGTTTGTATATTTAGTTCTAATATTTTGATTCTAGTAGGGTTTTTTTTTTGTAAAAATAGGATATTCTATTAATCACAGTGTTGAGAACAGGCATTCTTTATAACGGTGTTTATTTATTTTAGGCTTATGTTAGAATACTGTATAATCTCAAAGTAATTCTTGCAAAATCTCAGCCTGGCTTAATAAAGATGAATTAAATTGTTTTAAGTTACTTCATTCTAATGTAAAGAGTCAGTAGACTTCTTGTGGACTAGCAGGATGTCTGTTCAAAGCTGCAAATTGATTTTTACTGTACACATTGTTTTACCTGTTGTTTGAAATTTACAGTTAGTTTCAGAAAGTCTTATGTGAGAGAAAATGGAAGTGTTTAGTTAGGAGAGAACTGTGCTTCAAATGAGTAAGAACTGAGGGAAGGAAATTATATCGTGCTCTGTAGAAACTTACATTCCTGTCAAAATACTGTTGCTTTATTAAATATTTTACTTTTTCTCATTATTTGTTATTGACTGTGACAGCCAGAGGCAGGGTTACCTAACTCTGTGAAAAGAGCCTGTAATGCTGAAGAGTCCTTACCTGCATCACCACTAAAACCAGCCAGAAGCAGAGGTTGGTAGTGTTATTGAATTAAATTTTTTGAATAAAGTTTTTTGGGTAACTGCTTCTTGGGATTTTGTAAGGTTTTGAGGAGAATAATTAAACCTATGTATATGACAGGATCATCCTATGAATTACCCCTGAAGCCTGCAATACCTGATTACGTAGCTGATTCTAATAAACCACAGTCTCCTGTATCTAAAAGAGGAACAAATGATATATTAGCAGATGTTGAAGCACTATGCAAAAGTCCTGCCTTGTCTTTGGATGCTGAGGATGATCATGAGTCTCTTGGATCACCTCTTCTTTTGGAGGAAGCAAAAAGTCCTCCAGTCTATAAGTAAGTAGAGCTGAACGTGTTGGTGGTGGTGTGTTCCACCTGCCCTTACAATATGGTGCTTTCAGTAATTTCTGAGTTTGGTTTGTGAATTCATTAGAAGTAATTCCAAGCTTTTTAGAAAATTTCCTTGTCTGGGTTTAGAAAGGGCAGAATTATGTTTTTATGAAATATAAGAGTTAATTCCCAAAAGTGCAGTACCCAAGTGCAGGAAGCCTGTCAGTATAGATTTTTAACTCCTTCTCAGATGGTCTAGATTATTCATTTTTTTAGTGAATCCTATTGACAGTGTTGACCTTAGAAGTTAACAAAAGATTTGTTAAAGCAGAGATGAGCAGTCATTGTTCCTCTCGCTCTGAATATGCAAATGTTTTATGCAAAGGAGAAGAACTTCAGTTGTGACCATTGTCTCCTCTTTGGAAACTTTGAAGCCCAGCTGCAATAGTGGCCAATGGTCCCAACCACTGTTCTTTCCTGAAGGACTGAATCTCCTGGGTAGACTGTAGAGAAGGACTGACACTGATCCCATTGGTGGAATGAGATTTGGGAGGGAGTACAACTAGGGTCTAGGAAACCTGACAATTTCTGAAGCACATTCTCCTAAAATTAGGAATTTGTCTTGCTGAGCAGCCCTCATTTTGATCAGGAGTTGCAAGCTCACCCCATGTTGCCTCATTGATTTGGGTACTTGCTACTGTGCTGGGAAGTGGTACCACTAACCTGTGTTTCAGCAAATTACCAAATGAGAGCTCATTCATAAGAAGTAAAACACTGTCAGTGGGAGAAAATGAGAGCATCTGTCCATCTGATATCCAACCCCATCCAGATTAGATCTCAGGAAGAAATTTTTTACTGTGAGGGTGGTGAGACACTGGAACAGGTTGCCCAGAGAAGCTGTGGCTGCCCCATCCCTGGAGGGGTTCAAGGCCAGGCTGGATGGGGCTTGGAGCAACCTGGTCTGGTGGGAGGTGTCCCTGCCCAGGGCAGGGGGTTGGAACTCGATGATCTTTGAGGTCCCTTCCAAACCCAAACCATTCTATGATTCTATGATCTGTATGATGCTTTAGTGTGCATTCAGGATTTATAGGATCACATCTGAATGCTGTTTCTCATACATAGATCACACTTGGATGACCAAAATAGTCCTGCTGCAGTGAAGAGCCCTGTGGAAGCTGAAAATTTGGAAGGACCTCAGACTGGGAGAGACGAGCAGGTTGTTCTCGAGCAAGGAAGAGAATGTGTGGCTGCGTCATCTGTACAGAAAGAGAAGGGTTTCTCCTCGATTGTCTTAGCAGCTCTAGCAACAGGAACGCGTGGAGAAAGGTTTGGTTTGAAGCTCAATATGGAACATAATTTGCTAGTGAAATAACCCAGTCCCGAGTACTGGAGCAACATCCTTTTATCCATGTACATGCTCTGGGAGAATATTTTGGTATAATCCAACGTTGCTGAAAAATGCCCCTTGAGAAAGGACTCGAATAGTTGTTTTGAAAGTTTTGTGCTGTTAGGATTTACCAGTGCTGTTGCTTTTGTCATTAAAATAGGATGTAGCTGTCGAATAGTGTTTCAGATTGAGCATGAGATGGGTTGATAGGTAGGCTGGAGAATTTGGGAAAGCCCTAGGTGATTCTGAAATTAGCAGTGATTGAGCAGTCTTTATCAGAGCTAACATGGATTTGGCAGGTTAGATAGGAAGGTGGCTATCCAGCCTCAGAGAAATAACGAGGTGTGAATATGAGGCCAAAAAAAGGAGAAGCAGGCCTTCTGCTCTTTTTGGAAGCTAAAGAGCGGTGAATGATGAATTTAATCATAATTCTTCTGAGGAATGTCCTGTAGTGTGTGTAGGTGTTCTACAGTCACCACTAGATTTGCAAGACCTTTTTTTCCACCAAACGATGTGAACTTTGTCCCTCCTTTCTTTAGGTATTCAGCCTCAGTATCACCACCATCACCACCTCCTGTTAAAGATCAAGATATAGAAATAGAAAATGAATTTGAATTTTTAATTGATGAATCAGATGATGTTTCTTGGTTTTCAATACCGTCTAAGAAGAAAAAATCAAAAAAAGATGGCTCTGCAACTCTGGTTTCTAAAGCTCAGCCCTCTGAAAAGGAGAAGACAGAGAGTAAGAAAGGCAAGAACAGAAAAGCACAGGTTGAAGCACATACTAAACAAAAAAAAGATGGTTTGGATGACAGAAAATATGACTCCAAAGGAACATCGGAATCGGATCCAGTCTCTAACAGCAAAGGAAAGGTCCTTAAATCTCAAAGGCAAAACAGTGCTCGTACAGGTAAGTTATTTAACATGTCTTCAGACTTCTTCCAGGTCATATTACTGGATTTTTTTGTGTTGGTTTCTTGGGAAATAAAGATGAAGTAGATGAGAGATATTAATGGATTCCTAATTTGCTAATTGATGTTTCAGTTGCACGGTTAGGTTTGGGTGTCTATAAGGCAATGAGACAGTGTCTTCACTCTTTCCCCTGGATCCCCCACCTTTCCCAGCCCTTCCTGGTAGGACATTAAAAAATAAGTTAGCAGTGTTGTCTTGTCTTATGAGCAGACAGAGGTGGTAGGTACCACAGAGGTGGTAGGTACCCACAAGCTTTGCTCGTCTCTCCGTAGAAAGGAGGTTAAAATATATGCTTTGAACTGGAAGGGATGAGTTTTTAGGAATTATTGAGAAATATTTTTGTACCAGGAAGCACTGAAAACTGATTCAATGCAACATTTTTTGCCCGTTTTATCTGCTAGGAAATACTGGAAGTGCACCAAAAATTCTGGTTTGAATTTTTCATGCACTATAGTTCAGAGAAGACCTTCTTTTAACCATTTTAACCATTAGCTTTTCTTCCCCTCCCCCCATCTTGATTCGTTGTTTATTTCTATGCGTTCAGATGTCAATATCTATCTTCAGGTTTAATGGGAAAAGACATTAATGTCCAAGTGTTTTCTGTGTTGATAGGAAAGACTAAAAAGGATGCACTTAAGCAAAGCTTTTCAAACCAGAAAAAGGACACGTCCTGGAAACCAGAGGCTGAAGACCTGATGCTGCCACCCTCTGTGTTGGAAACTAAAGCATCTGATGCAGAGCAATGGAAAACAAAGGTCGTGGCAAGTGAGGATTTGCCTGTGCCCTCAGTTGAGCATCAGCAAGAGCCAGCTGTGTCTCCAAAAAAGAATCTCGGGTCTTCCAAGTATCTGCAGTCAGAGTCAAAAGCTTCTCGGCCTTTAGTTGACAAGAAACAAACTGCTAAGCAGAAACTTCCAAAAGATACAGCGGCCAAGAAACTGGCAGAAAGTCCGAGGAAGAAGCTTAAAAAATCAGTCAAGAAAAGTAGTAATAAAAAGCCTCCGTTACAAAGAGAGGAGAGTTCAGACAGTGGAGAGGAGGGTGCTCACAGTGGACCTCCTGAAGTAGAGCTTGAAAGAGAGCCTGTAAAATTGCACACGTTGGAGTCACCTGAGGATGAAAATAACAAAACTCCCGTAAAAGCGCAGCAGCATCTCACAGACAGCATGAAGAAGTCTGAAAAGAAACGTTTGTCAACTAAATCTTCAGGGAAGATACCCAAAAAGATTTGTCACAGAACCAGTAAAGATGTTTGCTCAAACTCTGAGGACACCGAGTCTCAAACGGATTCTGACAGCTCTTCTGTAGAGGACGTGGCAAGCAAAAACCAGAAGTTACCAGATGTGAAAATAAAAAACAGTATGAGAAAACATAACAAGCCACGTGGACCACAGTAAGCTTTTTTATGTAATTCCTTACAAGTATCTACCAAATTGGTAGATAATTAAACATATCTTGTTAACTGTTAAACAATAATGACCCAGTTAAGCTGTGTGACAATTGGTGTGGTTGAATAGCTAATAGAGAAACCAAGTGGTGTAATCAGCATCCTGTTCTCAAAGGGGGGGTGCCAAATTTAGTGTCTGCTCCTACATCAGGAAACCTGCCCGGTGAATGATGAATTTAATCATAATTCTTCTGAGGAATGTCCTGTAGTGTGTGTAGGTGTTCTACAGTCACCACTAGATTTGCAAGACCTTTTTTTCCACCAAACGATGTGAACTTTGTCCCTCCTTTCTTTAGGTATTCAGCCTCAGTATCACCACCATCACCACCTCCTGTTAAAGATCAAGATATAGAAATAGAAAATGAGTTTGAATTTTTAATTGATGAATCAGATGATGTTTCTTGGTTTTCAATACCGTCTAAGAAGAAAAAATCAAAAAAAGATGGCTCTGCAACTCTGGTTTCTAAAGCTCAGCCCTCTGAAAAGGAGAAGACAGAGAGTAAGAAAGGCAAGAACAGAAAAGCACAGGTTGAAGCACATACTAAACAAAAAAAAGATGGTTTGGATGACAGAAAATATGACTCCAAAGGAACATCGGAATCGGATCCAGTCTCTAACAGCAAAGGAAAGGTCCTTAAATCTCAAAGGCAAAACAGTGCTCGTACAGGTAAGTTATTTAACATGTCTTCAGACTTCTTCCAGGTCATATTACTGGATTTTTTTGTGTTGGTTTCTTGGGAAATAAAGATGAAGTAGATGAGAGATATTAATGGATTCCTAATTTGCTAATTGATGTTTCAGTTGCACGGTTAGGTTTGGGTGTCTATAAGGCAATGAGACAGTGTCTTCACTCTTTCCCCTGGATCCCCCACCTTTCCCAGCCCTTCCTGGTAGGACATTAAAAAATAAGTTAGCAGTGTTGTCTTGTCTTATGAGCAGACAGAGGTGGTAGGTACCACAGAGGTGGTAGGTACCCACAAGCTTTGCTCGTCTCTCCGTAGAAAGGAGGTTAAAATATATGCTTTGAACTGGAAGGGATGAGTTTTTAGGAATTATTGAGAAATATTTTTGTACCAGGAAGCACTGAAAACTGATTCAATGCAACATTTTTTGCCCGTTTTATCTGCTAGGAAATACTGGAAGTGCACCAAAAATTCTGGTTTGAATTTTTCATGCACTATAGTTCAGAGAAGACCTTCTTTTAACCATTTTAACCATTAGCTTTTCTTCCCCTCCCCCCATCTTGATTCGTTGTTTATTTCTATGCGTTCAGATGTCAATATCTATCTTCAGGTTTAATGGGAAAAGACATTAATGTCCAAGTGTTTTCTGTGTTGATAGGAAAGACTAAAAAGGATGCACTTAAGCAAAGCTTTTCAAACCAGAAAAAGGACACGTCCTGGAAACCAGAGGCTGAAGACCTGATGCTGCCACCCTCTGTGTTGGAAACTAAAGCATCTGATGCAGAGCAATGGAAAACAAAGGTCGTGGCAAGTGAGGATTTGCCTGTGCCCTCAGTTGAGCATCAGCAAGAGCCAGCTGTGTCTCCAAAAAAGAATCTCGGGTCTTCCAAGTATCTGCAGTCAGAGTCAAAAGCTTCTCGGCCTTTAGTTGACAAGAAACAAACTGCTAAGCAGAAACTTCCAAAAGATACAGCAGCCAAGAAACTGGCAGAAAGTCCGAGGAAGAAGCTTAAAAAATCAGTCAAGAAAAGTAGTAATAAAAAGCCTCCGTTACAAAGAGAGGAGAGTTCAGACAGTGGAGAGGAGGGTGCTCACAGTGGACCTCCTGAAGTAGAGCTTGAAAGAGAGCCTGTAAAATTGCACACGTTGGAGTCACCTGAGGATGAAAATAACAAAACTCCCGTAAAAGCGCAGCAGCATCTCACAGACAGCATGAAGAAGTCTGAAAAGAAACGTTTGTCAACTAAATCTTCAGGGAAGATACCCAAAAAGATTTGTCACAGAACCAGTAAAGATGTTTGCTCAAACTCTGAGGACACTGAGTCTCAAACGGATTCTGACAGCTCTTCTGTAGAGGACGTGGCAAGCAAAAACCAGAAGTTACCAGATGTGAAAATAAAAAACAGTATGAGAAAACATAACAAGCCACGTGGACCACAGTAAGCTTTTTTATGTAATTCCTTACAAGTATCTACCAAATTGGTAGATAATTAAACATATCTTGTTAACTGTTAAACAATAATGACCCAGTTAAGCTGTGTGACAATTGGTGTGGTTGAATAGCTAATAAAGAAACCAAGTGGTGTAATCAAGGTCCTGTTCTCAAAGGGGGGGGTGCCAAATTTAGTGTCTGCTCCTAGAGAAACCAAGTGGTGTAATCAGCATCCTGTTCTCAAAGGGGGGGTGCCAAATTTAGTGTCTGCTCCTACATCAGGAAACCTGCCCTGGAATTTTTAAGGTGTTGTTTTGAGACTTGAGTAGCAGATGCAGTTTAAAAACATAGACACACATGCACACACAGCCCCACTACCTATAGAATAACTTCATTGGCAGGTTTGTTACTTTGCTTATAGATTGAGAAAATACAGTGTTTAATTCTTCAGCTATATTTATTTTTGTGGAAGTAACTTTACTAATGATTCCTAATTGAAAGAGGAAGTTTTCTTAACCAGTCTAATTGAGTTTTTAATCACCGTTCTTTGCGTTGCTTTTTATTAATTTTTTTTTAAAAAAAGTTAAGTTCTGTTTAGTAAATAAAATTATTGACCTACAGGTTCCTTGCAGTAAGTAAAATTAACTCAACAGTGCACATAGTAAGAATAATTTTTTTTTTTTTCTCTTCTAGAGATCGCTTTGCAGCTGAGAAGGCTCTGAGTCATGAAAGGTAATTTCCTGAGTTTTCTGTAAAACTTGCATTTAATCCCACTTCTGCCCCCCTGAGACAGAACAGCTGTTTGGAACTACTGCTGTCTTCTGTGTCCTACTAGTGAAGAACCTAGGGGTTCCCTGGAAAGGGATTGTGAGTCATGCCTCAGGTGTTGAAATACCCTGCTAGTACACTTCCTAAACTCTTAAAATGCTTGTTCCTGTCCTGAATAAGGGTCAGAGTAAGTTTCTTGCCTTTGGAGATTTTTTTTTTTTTTTCCTTTAAGGCTTGATTCCGTATTAGTTTGTCGTTTTGAAAGAAATACCAGTGCTCCTAGAACTAAGAACAACTGTATTAATAAGGTTGCTGAATAGTAGGGCATAGAACTGTATCTACAATAGGGCATAGAACTGTATCTACAATCCAGACTCTTGTTTGTGCATGTAAATATGCATGTGTCTTCTCCTTCATGGGTTGGGAGCTTCATAAAGCAAACAGGAATGGCAGTCTGTGAATTTATTAAATTCTTATGCTCTAGTTCTACTGAAAAGTTTGTATTTTAACTATAAGGGGACAAATTTGTAGGGTAGGTTTGCTAACCTAGCATTGAAATGCATCTTTTGGAGTTTAGGTGGCTCCCAGCTGAGCTTCATTGGCACGGTGAAAGCAGTGATTGCAACAGAATACCTAGTACAAATTACAATTCCAAACTATTTTACTGTCCTTTCCTTACAGTATGCAAAACGTTTCTTTAAATCACTTCTGTGATCGTGGTCTGTGGAAAATAGTTTGAAAGGTAACGCTACAGTAGAAGGTCTGTTTCTTCTGGAGAGGAGAAAAAGTCAAAAGATGATTAGTAAACCTGCTTAGAGAGAAGGTGTGAACACTGATTTCTTTGCCCGATGGCCAAGTAGTGGAGCAACTGATGAATTTCAGAGCTGTGATTCCTAACTAGTGTTCTAATTACGATTAGACACCAGCCTGTAATTGGTACAGGCAGATGTTTAGAAGGAAGAGAAACCCACCCCATGTGATCTAAAAAAACATTAAATTTGCTATTCTTGGCAGTGCTGTAACCTTCCTTTGACATTCAACATACTCAAGCAGGTGTATTTTTTTTTTCCTTTGAAGTGGGCCTGTTCTAGAACATTATGATAAACGTGCTTTGAGAAGGAAGCTCTGTGAACAGGATAATACATCTTCAGGTAATGTTTAAAGTTGGTTTTTTTCTTTTTTTCTTGCACTTTATTTATAAGCTTCTTATAAACTGTAATGGATGGTGCATTAATTTCTGTTGTATTTCGCTTGTCCAAAATAAGAAATGCAGATTGTGGTGAGGGTGGTCACGTTTCTGCCCAACAGTATGCCAGCTTTATGTGGTGTTAGCTTTGGAAGGACAAGCAGTACATCAAGCCCACCAGGATAAAGTTATCCTTCCAAATGGTGTTGAAGAAATGTTTCAGACTTGGTTTGTACCAGCTTGGTGTGTTGCCATGTGATGGTACTATAGGGATCACTTCAGGCCACCCTAGACTTAATTGTGCAGCCTTAGGGAATCATGGCCTGTGCCATAATTTGGTTTTCTTGTCCGTTTCCCTGCAGTTGTGAATGAGCCAGTTGTGAATGTCATTTGTTCACACAATGCTTTCCTTAGAGACCGTTTTTTTGTTTTCTTGCACTTTATTTATATAACACTTATTTGTTCACACAATGCTTTCCTTAGAGACCTACTTTTGTGTGTGTTGTGCTAGGAATTTTGTCCTAAATTTAGGCTTGCATGGTGTAAAGCTGAATGACCTTGCACTCTGATCAACAAAATTATATGTGTAGTTATAATCTCCCAGTGTTTGTTTTATCAGAGGGATGGATCCAGGAATATTTACTTGAATGTATAGTTCTCATGTAATTTACAAGCTTACAGGGTTTAAAAACTGATTGCATAGTTTATCTGCATTGGGTTTCATATATGTTTAATGGAAGAAAGGTTAGTGGGAACACTAACACTGGGATTTCTGCTTCTCTTTCCTTTGGTTGCTTCTAGTGGGCATATTGAATAAAAGTCAGGAATAGTAAATGCCTGTAGTGTGGTTTTTTGAATGTGTTTTCAGATAATTCTGAAGATTTGAGTTATCAAGTAAAAGAGCTGTTAGACAACATAGCAAGGCATAAAATAGGTAAGATTATTTTAAAATTTCTTAATGTAAGTGCATAAACACAAATATATTTCCAACATGTGTAAACTTTGGAAGAAGGTAGAGGAAAGCACCTAGAAATGGGTTCATATGTTAATAATTATTTACAGATAAGGCTTGTTAGTTCTTCAGGCTGCTATAACCCTGCTCTAATTTTTAAGTTACTTTTAAAAGCTTACAGTGTTTCTTTTTTATTATTATAGTTAACAACTATCTTTTACCTGTCACACTTGGGTTTTTCATTCGCCGTTGAGTCAAGAGCCTGTTTACAGTTCAGTGAGAACAGCCAGAGGTTTGACTTGGTTTGACACAGAGTAACTGAGGGTGCAAATAACGTGCCCTCTGTGTCAGTCTGAGTCCAGATAGGATGGAACAATGGGCATACAGTTGACTGTATTCCCATACCAGACTGTTCTTACTGGTTTTTTTATTCCCTTCATTACTATTCTGTGCAGAATAGAAGGTAGTTGTCTACCTTCAGAAACTATTTCAGCAAGTTGGGCACTATTCTGTGCAGAACACTGTAGTTGTCTACCTTCAGAAACTATTTCAGCAAGTTGGGTTTTTTTAAATTTATTTACCGTTTTTATTTTTAGCATTTATTCTTGACTAATCTGCCCTCAACCCTTAAGGAGCTTCTGTTCTTTCTTACAAACACTAAACTACTGGATCTTACTGTATTCATATGTGGCAGCTTAGAAAAATTGAAAGTTGAGGCTATGTAATAAAAAAGTCTGAAAATAAATATCCAAGAAGTCTTGGAAATGTGTGGGGTTTCTGCTGGCAAAGGTGCTGCTCTTCTAGACCTCAGATTTAGGTATGGTTCTTAGTCTTTGCTGAGAGCTTTGTTTTCACAGTTGTGCTCAAGCCCCTAATGTCTGTATCTCACTGGTTCACTAAGATGTATAGAGTGAAATCTACTCTAAAGCCAGCATGGTGATTGTTTAAGGAAAAGGGGAGTGAAATAGTGATGTCTGCAAAAGAAGGGTTTTGGCAATACTTGATTTCTTTTCCCTGTCATGATAGATAGCAATATGATAGAAAATATCAGCTGGGAAGTGCTGACCAACCTGATGGGGAACAACGGGAAAGGATATTTAATGTTTTCCAGTTCTGAATTTTCCTTTCGTACTTAAAGTGAATGATTTCATCCTTTAAATTAGTAATGCCTTCCAACACACCTAACGTCCGTCGGACAAAAAGGATACGACTAAGACCTCTGGAATATTGGCGAGGCGAGCGTGTAAACTATACAATGAAGCCTTCAGGTATTCATCCCAAAGCACCTATTGACTTTCTCCAGATAGGGCAGTGAAAAGAAATCAGTGGGTTGATATTTGTGAAAGCTTTGAGACACTCACTGTTTGGTAATTTAACCAACAACATTATTTTTGGTCTCCAACTATTCAGTCATCTTCTCGTGTAGTCTTTTTGTCTCCTGCTACTCCTGCATCAGCTAGAAATAGCATCAGCAGAGCATCCCAAGGACCCTTGCCTTAAATGTTTAGTGAAGAACAAAATGTTTTCTCTGTATGTTTATTATGTCAAAGATTCTGTGTGATACTGGAAAAAGAGACAATCTACTCAATCATTCATTGCAGAATTTCTTTGTGTGGGGGTTTTTCTCCGGAGCAGGTGCTATCCTGTTTTACCCAGTCTCAGTGTTAAATTCCCTAAGTGATAGGATATGTCTTGTTCTTGGGGATTTTTTCTGACAATTCATCTTAATTTGATCCTTTCCTAATTGATTAATCTGCTTGAAAATAGTATTTCTTTGTGTCCCTTAAATTGATATTTTGTCTTAAAAATTGACTCTCATGTCGTGGCTTTCTGAAATGTTCTTTGACTGCAATATGAAAAAAATTATTTTCAAAAAGTCTCAAGTTGCATTGCACTCCAAAATACTTGATGTTGAAAAGCTTTTTGCTTTGTTCTGGCTTTCTAAATCCTATCTGAAAAGTTCAGCAGTAAGGAAATGTATTCTCAAATGAAATGCTTATTGGTTGTGCGAGTCTCCAGTCTAGTAAAACTATTATGACTTCATGAACTTTGTTTAACCTTCTTTTGTTTCAGGAGAGCTTGTGATTAGTGGAATAGAGTGTCCAGAAAAAGAATCTCACCGGATGGTTAAACAGAGGAGGGATGGTCGCCAGCAGAAAAGATTAGAAACAAGTATGAACACAGACTTTTTCCCTTGTGATACTTTAAAAAAAAAAAAAAAATCTATCTGTAATCAAACATTCCATTGCTCTACGATTTTTCTCCTGTAAAAACTTGATTCTCTGGGTGAAAATAATTTTATAATGAAATGTGTTAATGTGATCTGATGTGGAAAAACCTGTTCTTATGTATGTATAGCAATGCTGTGTAATCTTCTTGTGAAAACTTTAACTTCTCAGCATTAGAAGGGAGGAGACACAGGTATCCAGTAGTGCTGTGGTGCCTTTTTAAAGCAGGTGTTGAAAAAAAAAAAAAAAGCTGTATTTCTGTCCTTGTTCAGCTTGCTGATTAATGATGCTAATGTGTTTAATCTCATAATGCACAGTTAAGGTATAAAAACTTCTGGTCATATTACTGATACCTGTAATACCACATCTGAAGAGGACAGCATGTGGTGTCAATAGAGTTTTTAAGCTATTGTAGGTTAAATACAAAAAATTAACAGGTCTAAAACAAATCAGGGCTGAAATAATCATTGGAGAAATAAGGAAGAAAACACTCGATGTTGGTACAAATTTGAGTGGTGCATGTAAATTTTATTCCTTACTTCCAAAAGAAAGTAGTGGGATTACCAAAGGTTCAGGGAAAGCTTGTCAGAAACACAGAAGGACTTTTCTATGAGAAGCAACTGTGTGGTGAAGGCTCCTCAGCCCTGAAGACAGTACTGCAGAAGTGATATGGAGGAGGAGAATAGACATAAATTGTGCTTTGGGTTTTTTGGGGTTTTTTCTTTGCTCGTTTTTTTGGGTTTTTTCTTTGCTTGTTTTTTTTTCAAAAAACAAGAACTAGAAGGTGTGGAAGGGATCTAGCGAGAGAGAGAGTTTTTCAAACAGAATTAGGGGTCTCTTCCCACTGTGTGCTCCCTGCTCAGAATACTGGGGATAAAAATATTTATGTAGATTCAAGTTGAGAACTAGATAAATTCACCGACTTACCTGTCAAGAACTCTAAGTAAAGTGTGTTAGCTCTGTTAGAGGTGTAAAGTATTCCCTGGAAGTGCCATTACTCTATTATAGCATATAGAGAGATGGGGACAGCATCTGTCATTCATCTCAGTGGCCAGTCCGAGCACTTTTACTATATAGAGTAATATATATATATACTACTCTATATATATAATATAGAGTAGTATATAGGTGGGGAGAGCATCTATCATTCATCTCAGTGGCCAGTCCAGCCCAAACCACCACAGGGATGGAAGGGGAACTTGGTCTTGGCCATTGATGGGAGACAGGATCCTGATCTACATCAACCTTTGATCTAAGTACAGTTTATGTTTTCATATAAGTCATTTACAGCCCATCTGAGCTGGTAGAGACTGTTCATATTGTATCTTTAAAAAAAATATTGGTTGCTTTAGTTGAATTTGAGCTGTCTTCCAGAAGGGATGGATTTCCTTTTTAACAGCCATCCATCCTGAGAGATGAGTCTTTCACTGGCATCCTTGAATTTTACGTGAGGTATATAAGGTCTATCAGCTGAATAGAATTTCTGGGGCAAATACGTAAATTTTATTGATAAAGATAAAAATTCTGTGGTTATAGCTCCAGAGTTGCACCTGTTGCTCTCGCTTTTTGTAGCGAGATGATTATGTTGGAACGAAGCTATTTCAAACACAGTAACTTCCTTCCAACCCCTGACTGTCTCAGCGTAAGAGTATTTAAGCAGCTATGAGTGCCTATAAAGTGCTGTAGCTTGCCTTTAACATCCTCGTTCTGCCTGCATTTAAAGACATTTCCTGTGCACCACGGAGCTAAAATTGGCTGCTTAAGAGAGTTCTGCAAGAGAGCTCTGGGATATTTATTCTGCCACGAAGGTTCTCCGGCATCTCTTTTTTTATTTGAAAAGTGTAAGGTTGTCATCAACTCTTAGGCTATTACCTTTTCTGGAAAAATCCTTTTTATTATAGAAATACTTCTCTGATTTACAACTTACACACTGAGATTCCTGTAATGGTATTTCTTGAGCAGAGGAAAATTGAACACGTGCTTATTCTTTTGAACACTTTATCTCTGCAGTCTCCTGATGCCCATCAGCAGTACGTAAAAGGAAGAAACTTCTTCTTCAAGCTTCATCATGTATTTTATGTCCTCTCAGCATTCACTGCTAGAAAAGCACTTCTCTTAAAATGCAGATACTTTTGAATAAATACTGTCACTAACAGCATAGGATAAATAGCTGGCATTACCCTGGAAAATTTCTGTAGGATTTAGAGGCCCTTTATCTATTGCACACAGAAATAATTCCAATGAAAATTGCATTTTCAAAGAGTTGTTATGGATGGCTTTCTTTGAAGAAAGCATATTCAGTCTTAGTCACTTAAAAAAACAAATTTAAGCACTTATGTGTGAATCTAAGATTGTGGAAAAGTTGTGGTTAAATAATTAAGTTTTTAAAGGGAGAGTGATTATTTTTCTGGTTTTGTTTTGGTTTTTTTGTCTCTTTAGGAAATGAGGTACCTGCAAATTTGGATCACTCCATAGTTGATACTTCTAAGCTAACAGTTGTCCTGGACCCACTCACAAATGAGGAAATACTTCTAGGTGAGACCAAGGGCCTTTCTGAATTATGTACTAAGACTGGTAAGAAAAAAAGAAATATATTGTCCATGCCATTTTGGGCATAAAAAGGTGAGTTGTTGAAATATTCATTGTTCTTCTGGAGAAAATTCTTAGGGAGGCACAAAAAGTGTCCTGATTTTTCAGCTAAATACTGAGTCTAGCTCTTGAGGGTGTTGCCCTGAAACAGTATGTCTGCATAGGATTTTATAAGTAGTTACTGAGCGAGCAGCGAGACTAATTATGTGTTAGCATTAATGTTCATCTCCTGGGCTGTTTTTTGTAGAATGTATTAACACTGAAAGCAATCACACGTGCTTCTTCAAAGATGATACGGTAGAAATATATAAAAACTTGAATACACCTGCTTTTGCTGTTGGTAGATTGGTTTTGAAACCATTGAAGGAAAAGGGACACCAGTTTGTCCACATGGATACAATAGTAAGTATGCTTTTTTTCTTATTTTTATAAAATGGACTATGTGAACACAAAATCTTAGGTTAGAAGTAGTGTATAATGTTGACAAGCTTTTCAGAGGTTTTTTCCCTGTAATGCAAATAAATACAGGAAACATTAATGAATCATTTCAGTTGATGAATGGGTTATAACCCAAGAAACTTGCTAGAGGTGCTTTGCTTCACATGACATCTGTGTGTCCATGTGTGCTCACTGTCCTGGAGCTCGCAGACAAGGTAGAAGTATCAAATAAAATTGGCCTCCCCACCCCTCTTTTAAGTTGTGCACCTTATTTTTCAGCAGGGTGGGGAGAAGGGATCACAGCTCTGCTAGCTCCTTTCTTTTCTGATTTTTGTTACAACGTGTGTGCAAAACCAGAGTATGTTTCCTTAGATAATGTTTGCAAAGGGAACATTGCTAATTTTGTAACCTTTTGGCTTTCATTCAGGCTTTCCATGTGATCTACGGCAAAATTATTGTTACCTTACATAAGACATCGTATCTCCTGACTACAGGTCACTACTTCTATGTTCCAGCAGGTAAGTACATGGAGTTGAAACCAGTCTTTTGGAGATGGCTGAGACTGAATTAGCACGTTAGGAAGCAAAACTGAGCTGAATGATGGGAAGAGCTAAGTTTGAGTAGAGAGTGGGGTAGTATAGGGTTATGTGACCCAACAACTGGACATGGGTCGATGACCTAACCTTTGAATGCAGTGATACAAACACTGCTTGTTTACTTGAGGTGGCCTCAAAGTTTCTGGTGACAATACCTAGCTCTAAGAGGGAATTTCTCTTGGTATTCTGGTTCTGTCCCCAGCTATAACACTGGGGAAACTTCACAGACAGCTTAATGTAGTGGTAGTTAATAGAGGTGTTTGGTCACCATCAGTTTGCTGGGTTTTCTACATAAAATTACGAAAATCCATTTGGATCAGTTCACCGTATTTTGTGCTTTGTACTTGAGGTACACAAGGTGCAGAGTGTCCTGTTGAACAAGTTGTAACTTCATGTGGGTTGTTGAGAATTTGGACAACTCTGATTTTGCCCCTCCAAGATAGAAGTTGAATGAATTCCACATGGGAAGGTGTCCCGTGGTGGGTGAGCCACTAGCCAGGAGAGTTTGTAGTAGTTGTAGCACAAGCTGTTCATGAAGCTGTAGAGAGCTCTTTGTACAGCTTCCTTGTGAAGAGGGTGTGTTAGAAAATGACAAGCTACTGTGTTTTTTCATTAACTTTTCACCATGACGTCCTAATTGAACAATCATTGTTACAGTTAATGCCTGGAAGGGGTTTTGTTATGTGTGTTTTAATCTTAAAAGTTTAGAGGTCTGCAGAGACAATTTTATAGTTGCTTTTCAGGAAAGCAGAGTATATAAACTGCTCAAAGTTCCATATAGCCATAAGAATCTATACTTTATTTGCATTCTTTCCTCCTCCTTGCTGGCCTGTCTCAGTATGCCTGGACGGGCAATGCAAGGGTTGTGGCAGGTGATCTCTTTGTAATTCCTCCATAGGTTGTTGCTCATTCCTGATATGCCTTTTAGATTCTATATTTGTGGTCCTGTCAGGATGCAAATCCCAAGTGAAGATGGGCTAATAAGTTTCCATGTGCAGTTTTTATTGAGATTTTCTATAGCAATAAAGTAAATTCAGTCACCTTAAAGTTTTTTTTTGGTGGGTTTTGAGAGCTGAGAGCTCAAGCCCATTACATTCTTTTCAGTAAAAATCTCAGCAAAGATGCACTTTATTCTTACTACAGGTTGTGATACCCATCCTTGTTACCTCTTTGAAATGCAATGACCTGCCTGTAAGAGTGGCATCCCAGATGAGGGACTACTGTGCCTTCTGTTAAAATATATGAAATAAAAATAAACTTTGCTAAAGACAGAGCAGGACTTCAGAAATTGCTGGTGGCTTCTAAATAAAACTTTTCTGGTTTTATTTGTAGGAAATATATATAACATACGGAATCTTCTGAATGAAGAAAGCGTTCTTCTCTTCACACAACTCAAAAAAGACACGTGAAGAACTTTCTGCAGAGAAGTTTGCTGAAACTCTTTTCAAGTTTTCGTATGTTTTGAAGTTCTTTTTACATACAAAAAAGTGTTTGAGTGTGCCCAGCTTAACATTACAAATTAATACAGAGCAGCTGAAATCAACTTAAGAAGAGTTGAGAGCAAAACCAAAAGATTCTCAGTAGTTTGCTCTCAAACTGAAGTGACACACTGAAGGGCCTCACTCTGCACAATGCTGTTCTTGTGTCATCCAAAGGCAGAGAGATATATGTATGAAATTTGTAAGTAAAGCAAACTGTAGTTGTAAATTGTATTTATATGCCTCATCTCCCTAAAGATGCCTAGCACTTGAAAAAATTTGACATCTTTAGCTAACATTTGGTAGTTTAACATCTGCTTGGTCAGACTGCTTAGAATAATCTCTATTTAAAATGTAGGACCGTGCTGTTGGCGTTTGGGTAATTGTTGTCTAGGAGATGGGCTGCTGGAATGCTTGTTTGTGTGCTGGGGTCTAACCTCCTTCTAATAAGGTAATGACAGGCCTTTCTTCCTTGTCCAGCAGAGGTATGATTAATGCCTCACATTCCAATTGTAAAATGGCAGCTCTGGAGTAGGAGCTTATCAGTTGTCTCTTTTGTATAGAAGCTATGGCTTGATTAATTCTGAACGTTGCGGATGGCTTTATTTCCTGTGACGGTGATAGGTCATTGCCAAATGTATTCCTTTAATATCTCCTCTTGTTTTGCTTGCTGTGTCTTCCTGGATAATAATGAGGACCTTTGGGAAAACCGTAATGATACTGTATACTCCAGAAGCCAAGTCTAGACAGCAGATGGTACACGTAGCATTTGTCTCCCAAGCTCTTCAAGGTTCCTTCGAGCTGAAGATAAGGATAATCTATAGCTATTCTGGTAGGGTGCTTTCTCTCCGTGGTCACTATTACTCTAGAAGGGAAGGAGATAGGGAAAATTGAGTTGGAATCATAAACTTTAAGGACTAGAGGATTGATCATTGACCTTGTAGATAGTTTTGGCCATGATCTCTGTGCTAAATCTAGAGTGTACATTAAAGTAGGGAAGATGAATTGGCTTTAGTGTTTCCCTTAAGATTTCAGCTGCGAGCTAACTTGGTGTGTCTGTGAAAGGGCTTGGACACCAACATTACAATGCCTGAATGGGAAAGGCCGTTTAGATTGAGGAATTTGAGATATTTTTTTTTATTATTATTACTCTGTTTCAAGCAGTAGTTCCTCTGATTAGTGCATAGATAGGCTGATGGTGGAAATACTTAGTGGAAGTGATGTGGCATCTTTGCATTCATGGCTAGGTCGTGCTTAGCTCTGAGAAGGTGAAACAGAGGAACATGCCTACTGCCATTCAGTTCTTCCTCTCTCTTGGCAGGAGCTATTTGCTACAGACTGCTTCAGACTGCACAGAAGGACCTTTTCTTTCTTTCCCAGCCTCAACTTTTGCAAGCAGCTTAAGAGTTAAAATTAAAAAAAAAAAAAAAGTCATTTAGTTACAGCTAATAATAATTAGATGTTGTCAGCTTTCGGGCTTGGGTTGGTCTCTTCAAGGTCAGCAAGATTCAAATATTGTCCCTTCTGTGTTGGAGCCATACCAGGTACCAGATGGACACACATGCTGTCCCCACTGCTTGAGGGGATCCCACCCACTAAAACGTTTAGTTTGTAAGTCTTTCAACTCCTCAGGCCTGCAGAGGTCTGGAAATTTGCCACTTGGAGAACAGTACGGGGCTAGCATTAGACCAAAGATCCTCTGCTCCTCGCCCAAGTGTGTGTCTCCTGGTGGTCAGGGCACGGATGTGGTGGTCACCAGTCCCCACAGTTCATTGGTTCCAGCTGAAAGTCAGAACAAGATGACTTGTGTTAAAGTTCAGAAGGAAGATGCCCTGCAGATTTTCTTCTGCGTTACTTCTCTGCAGGTTGGGTAGCAGAAAGCATACTTTTGGGGGATAGTGAACGTTTATGGACCTCATAGCCTTGAGGGAAAACGTGGATGTATGTTGTGACAGAGCTCAGGGCAGCCTGCTGCTTTCCAGCAACGGGTTCTAGTTTGGTGGGTTCAGGTGAGAAGAGATACATTGCCCTTGTGTGTCAAGCACTGATGTGTCTTTCCACGGCCATTATACTGCAACTTGGCAGCAAGGTTTTGAGTGGATTTGCTTTTGGGTCCTGGTAAATGATGAGAAATGCATCCTTGGGGATGTTTTCTTAAGCAGGAATAACGTGTGCAGGCCCTTTGCTGACACGGCTGGAAGGTGGCAGATGTTCAAGTGCAGCTTTGGGGTCAGTCTTTTGGGTCCTGGTAAATGCATCCTTGGGGATGTTTTCTTAAGCAGGAATAACGTGTGCAGGCCCTTTGCTGACACGGCTGGAAGGTGGCAGATGTTCAAGTGCAGCTTTGGGGTCAGCACACCATGAATGCCTCTTTGTGTTTTCCTAATTCTATAGGTGGAAGTGTCAACAGGACAGGGTGGATTTGGTGAAATACATAACTTCTATAGCTGTCTGGTTTTGTGGCTTCCTGGCTAGTCGGTTTCTTGGCAGAAATGTCCCGTGTAGTTTGCAGAGAACATTTTGTCGTTGGACTACATCTCAAAATGTTTGGTTGGGTTTTTTTAAAATTTTTTTAAAGTAGCAAAATGAATTGTGCGAAGCGTGGTGATGTATCTCAGGCGTTTAGTTCAGCAACAATTCTGCCATTTGTCACTAGATGGGGCTTCAAGCACAGCCCTGTGTCCTTGGCTGGTGGCCACGTTCAGAAGGGTTTGGCTCTTGAAAGGGAGGGAGGAAGAGGAGTATGGTTACAGATGGAGATAAATTCGGTTCAATTCTGTTGTAAGGAGGGGCAAGTCAGGTTCCATTAACGTTAGGACCTGGCACTGACCCTTGCTAAGTTCATCCTGCTAGTGTCTATGTTGTACTAGTCGCAGCCTGTTGCTCCAAGTTGTTTTTTAAACCATTAATGCACAGCAGGAGTTAAGTTGAGCTAAGTTGTTCACCCTTTGTCTGGATTGCTTTTTAATTTTTTCTCTTCAACTTGACGCTTGTTAAAGAAAAAAAAAGCACCACAAAGCAAACCAAAAACCCAATTTGCTTTCGTGTCATTAGCCTGAGGAGGTGCAGGAGAATGTTCTGAGCTCCAGGACCCATGTGGGTGCTGTGTTGTGCAGCGTGACTAACGAGAATTGGTCATTAGTGGCTGATCTTTCACCTCTGCTTTGTCTTGCTTTGGCTCCTGCTTCCTACGTTTTTGTGTACATCAGGCTACTAGGAGTTGTGGGTTACCTGCCTTTGGTGGGTCTGGTTTACTGGTTTATATTCTGGTTTTACTGGTGCAAACCAGCACTGGTATACTGGCTTATAAACCGTTTTTATTGGTGGTCTGGTGTATATGAGTTCACTCTTTTTCTGTGAACAGTCATTGAAAGAGCTGGAAACAAAGGCTGAGTCATGTATTTCATCAGCTTTGTGTTCTAGGGCAGGCATTGTGGTATCAACCAGAGGCTTCTTTTAAGGACCTCAACTGACTGTGTCCCACCACAATAAAAAGTCAGCTTTTTGAAGGCTTTGGCTCACTTAGGAAAAAAAATTCCTGGTTAGAAGGTTCTTTTGGAAATACCTTTTTGAACCTTTCGCTTGGTTAGAAAGTTGTTCCTGTTTTAAACAAAGCTTTCCTGCGGTTTAAAGCGGCAGAAGAATGGTTGCTAAACTGAGATGTGTGTGCACATCCATATTGGTACAACTTTGTAAACATAAAATAGAATACCAGCTGAGTAATTACAGAAGAATAAACAGTGGCTATAAAACAAACTGTTGAGGCACTTACACGATTTCTTCTGGTTTTCAAGCACACAGCTGAATTGGTTATCTGCAGATGATTTTAGATTAACATTTGGGGAATACAATAAACGTAAAGAGCTATTTCCCCATCTCCTAATGTGGCATTTCAGCATGAAGGAGTACTTCTTACGTTTCTGTTGCATAGACTCTGTTGCATGATGTCTGTTGTACAGGATTTACTTTATGTGGCGATTGATTGCAGATAATACATCTAACAGAAGGGAATGGAAGGTGCCTGGTTAAGAGTATTGGCAGCTGTTGTAGCTGAATATCTTTCCAAGCTGGTATGTTTCCTTTTCATGGATGTTCAGGAATGTAGTCAGAAGAGATCTCAAAGCCAAATGTTTCTCAGGTTGCATGATAGAGCTTAATTTAGGATTTGACAAAATGATTCCTATGGTTTAGTCCTAAGATGGAAAAAAAGCAGTTGATCATCAGTAAAAACAGTTGGCTGCAGATTATTAGGGAGCAGACACCTTGAATGTGGTGCCTGCAGAGCTGCACTGTGTTCTTCAGCCCACCCACAAAGCTCCTGGGCTGGTTTGCTTCATTTGAGCTCCTGTGCTGAGTAAAAGCACACACAACAGAGGGTACAACCACATTTACTTTGCACTGACTTCTTCAGTCTTCTATTGTTTGGAGCACAGGAGAGGCAATAATTGAAACGAGGAGCTGAAGGAAGCAAAAAGTATTTATTTTCTCAGTCTGACTGAGTTGAGATGCAAATCTCAAAGTGTTCACAGAAAAACTTATTAATGTCCCGAGTAAGATTTTTAATTTCTCTTCACGGCTCAATAGGTAAGGACTACTAAATTTGAAAACTGAAGAATTGCAGTGCTCTTGACAACTATTTAGGGATTTTATTACATTGTTAGAACAACTCCTAAGCTAAATAAAATGATACATGTTATTACATTTGTTTTGTGGTTATGGTGTTTTCAGTACCAGTAGCTGGAATGAGAATTGCTGAAGATGGCAGATGCATGGTAACAATCTGTGGGAGGCTTCTGGACTCAACGTGTGCCAAAAGAGGGAGAGGAAAGGAGTGGTAGGAGAGGTGTAAATGGGATGAAGAGCTGTAGTAGCACCCAGAGGTGTTGCAGATGGGCTTGTCTAGCTTGTGTGAAGAGTTTTCAGTGAAATCCAATAACTTTTGGAGGAGCAGAACGTGACTCTTCTGATTGGCATGG